ACCATTTGTCGGATTATCGCTCTTGTTAGCGTCTGAAACGGCACTAAAAAAATGTGTTGATAATGCAGAACATTGCCTTGACTCCACAAAGTCAGATTTATCCAGTGCCGAAGACGCTCTACGTGAGATGGCAAAAGCTCGTAAAAATACTCAAGGCGATATCAAGAATCGTGAAATGGAAAAGACCAAAATGGAAGACGAAATGGAGGAGACTCAGAAGAATATTTCTACATACAGGAAGGACATTAACGAGCAAAATCGAACCTTAACAGCGTTGAGGAAGGTGATGACTCGTCTGGGTAAAGTGTCGGGACGAGCAGAGGTACTGAGAGATGCAACAGCCATTATGCATGATATAGCAGAGATAGGGATACCTCTTAAGAGTTTGTTTGACAGTTTTGAAGAGTTTATTACGCAACCAGATCTCTGGAAGAAGGTGCTTTCTCGTCCTGAATTTCTGGCCGTTTGCGATGATGACGATGGAGACTGGTGAATAAAAACAGAAATGATACCCTGACAATGTTGCTAAGACTGTTGTCTCCATCACGTGAAGAGGATAATCAAGTTCTTAAAGTGTTTGCTGATCAGGTTTTATTTGAGATCGATTGGCAGTAGATTCATGTCGATCAGTGTCAATGTATGTTTGGACAATGACAAATTGTTGAATGAAAACATAAGGGATACCTTCAGTTGATATTTTGCCAAGACTCGTGTCTCCATATCACTTTGAAAGGTACTCGAGTTATTAAAGTGTTTGTTGAAACTTATAACTGTTGAGTGGGTTTTATTGGTGAATGCCTGACACTAGATTTATGTAGCTATTGTGCCTTGGAACACTGACAAATAGGTCTGTATTGTTTGCGTATTTCTCCAGCCAGGCCTAAATTTCCGTCCACTCTGGTAAATATTTATCTATGATGTAATCTATCTGTTATGTTTTGCGTGTTTCCCATCTCCAGGTGGGCCTAAATTACTGTCGCCCGCTTGATCATTAATCATTCCGCTCTCACAAGCAACAGACGAATTTTCCCATTCATAAATAGATTTCGTACTCTATTTTCTGTCTTGAGGATAATCGAGGTTGGAAATATATCAGGCTTTTTTCGCTTTCGAAATCTCCCCCTCATCTGCCGTTAAAGCATTCATGACAACACAGCATCCGTTGTACTTCGACCAGAGACCAAGTAACGATACTGTGAGTTGATAATTGAATTGTTTGATAGGCATTACTTAGAAGTTGACGGGTGACAAAGTAGACACAGTTTATGGATAAGTACTAAGAGCCAACGGCAGAAACGCAACTAAACGCCAAGAACCTAAAGATGTAGTTTATAGAATTGACTGCAACTGTGGACAAGCATTGGTGTGGTGCAACTGTGGTGAAACATTCCGCCCCATGAACACCAGAATCAAAGAGCACAAAGCTTCAACCATCAAATCAGACAGTAAATCTGCCATCTCGGACCATATCAGCAACTGCCTCAATCACAACATCAACTGGGACAACGTCTAATTCCTCTCCAACAACCTAAATGATGTCATCAAAAGAAAACTAACTGAAGCAGTCCACATTCGCCGCCACAAGCAACCAATCAACAGAGATCCAGGCTATTTCTTCCTATCCGCCTACTATGAACTCATTGAATAATAATCTCAATACCAATGTAAACCTATCCTGTTGAATTGGCTTCCTGTCTTATTGGCTTCCACCTCGTCTGGTGTCTGTCCATCAAGTTGTTATAGTATGTTATCCTTCTGTTGTTATTACTTGACCTGCTCATGTCAATGCCCGTCATGTCTTCTCTGTCCATCAAGTTGTTATAGTATGTTATCCTTCTGTTGTCATTACTTAACCTGCTCAAGTTATCCTCACTCATGGATGCAATTGTTGTTACTGTTAATCCTTCACCTACTATATATACACCTCGTCATAAATATCGCACCACACATTTTTTTAAGTAAAAGTAGAAAATATAATTTTCGTGTTTTTTAAACTACAAGTACATATTTCATATACTACACCATCTGTGAACATGATATCACCAACACACCCTTTTCCGAGCTGCACGTGCATGCTTGCGTTTAGCATGCTTGAACCGGGGGTCGGTTTGCTAAAAATGATGAATGCACATAGCCTCTTTTGGCGTATGTAATGTTGGCAGACACAGCTAAAATTTGGTTTTAGGCATAAATTAAGCTTTATTTTGGCCAACCAGTGAAATGCCCAAGCGTCCAGTACCTTTGAACCAAAGATGGAAAATTGTTGGTATGCATCAGACTGGTATGTCATGTCATGCTTTTGGAGCACAACTGAATATTAATCACACTGTCATCAGCAGGCTAATATGTAAGCATACTGCTTCTGGACGTCCCAGAAAAACCATTGACAGGGAAGATCGTGCTTAAGTCTACTTGTACACAGCTGCAACATGGATGGCATCCATACAACAAAGTGTCCATCAGCACCATCAGACGACGCCTAAGTTCTGCAGGATTGAGAGCAAAACGACCAATCAGACGTCCACTCCTCACAAATCAGCACAGCCATGCCCGTTTAGCCTGGTGCCAAACACGTGCTCGCTGGAACCTGAGGACATGCACATGCTTCCGATGAAAGCAGATTTTTGCTGCATTATACAGACGGGAGGGCACGAGTTTGGAGAAAGAGAGGCACAACATATGATCAGAGGAACATTCAAGCTGATGTTCCATTTGGGGATGGATCCGTCATGGTGTGGGGGTGTTGGTCTTACGATTGTAAACTTGACCTCATCACACTTCCCGGAACACTGAATGGACAGAGGTACCAGAACTTGATCCTGGACGGTGCTGCTGTGTCTCATTTCGATAACCATGCTCTCGCCACACGTCCAGTCTTCATGGACGATAATGCCAGACCACATCGTGCTCGAGCTGTTGTTCAGCATCACCAACACGACGCCATTGAGACATTACCTGGCCTGCCAGAAGTCCAGACATTAATCCTATTGAGCATTTGTGGGATATTTTGGGATGTAGGGTGAGGGCAAGGGATCCTCCAGTTCAGAACCTTCAGGAATTGGCCCATGCATTGCATGCATATGATGAGTGCCAGCAGATCCCCCAACAGAGATTCAGACGTCTGGTGACCGGCATGGGACGGCGTGTAGAACATGTTATCCAAGTGCGAGGCGGTTACACCAGATACTGAGTTAACCAGTCACTGTGGACCTTACTAGTGTGTTCGACATTAATGAAATGTGAACTGTGTTGTGTGTCTGTTGTAACGGCTCCGACAGCCATACTTATTTCATGGAGATTTTAGTGAACTTTAGTTTGCTACAATTAGACCCTCAATTTGTGCTCAAATTCGGTCTTGTGTTGTCAATTTTCTGACTGAACGCTCACATGAGGCCATATAAATAGTTTAATGTGCTTTTCTAAGCACCATTTTTATGAGGTTGAAGATCCAGTTTTTTACTTAGTGAAAAAAGTGGGTGGTGCGATATTTATGACGAGGTGTATATATTCTGTACCATGTTCATCTTACAGTCTTGCATGACAACTGTATAAGGGTCTATTCCGAAACGTCTCATTTACATTTATTAAAGAAGTTGTTATCCATACATTTTGTCTACTTTTAATAATTCAAATTGTCAACCAAGCAACACCCACCCAAAAGAAAGTTTTAATTATTTGTGTAGTTTCTTTCACTAACTCCCCTGATCAAACAGAGGAAGCAATAGTAAGGGTAGTCAAATATCTAATTGCCCCAGTCACAAAACATGACATTAGATCATCAAATTCGGAGTAAATGTCACTCTATCAAAATCAAAATCTGATGTGTTCTGTCAGACAATTAATGCAGGGTACGATCTTTATAAAACCGCTACATTACGTGGGCATATGTCGTATTTTTCTCTGTTTTTCAAGATGAAGATGTTAAAAACAATTGACGATGTGACGTATTGGTTCATCTTGTGAGTGACACATGTAGTTGTTGTTCTCCTGAATCATACCGGAGGTGCATAGAACTTCCTTTGGCTGGACAAAGTAAATGGACAGTCTGACGTTAAATTATTCTACAAGAACATGTGCTTTCCAAGACCAGATGTCAACAGATCGGAAGGTTTTTCGTTTCCTTATGAGACTAGTCGGAGAAACGCAGTTTCTTATTTGAACTATATATGGGAAGGCATGACTTTCCCAATACTGCAAAATAAGAATTTGGATTTTAAGAACATGTTATGGATTGGAATTATTCTATTTTAAGAATTTCCTAGTTTTCGTACATTCCGAACTTTCTTTTATCTTTTTGAATTATCTACATAAAACAGGAGTCAAACATGGCTTCGATACCACCGATGCCTAATTATGGCTAGAGGATAGAGCGTCCGCCTGGAAGGTCGAGAGTTCGATCCCCGGCCGCGTCATACCAACAGAGGTTAAGAGATGGTACTTTAATTATTGTTGCCCTTCATTGCGCTCGGCATTAAGAGGATTAAACGAAGACTGGTCGGCTCGGAGTCTGTATACTGTGTCTGAGTGTGGTATTCGTATTAAACTGCGGCATGGTATCGCGGTGGTCTAGCACTGTATCATATAATGACATATCAGCCGAATCATGCATAGCAACATGAGATCGATATAAAAGTGAGTTTTAAAAGCGCACGAGTCAAGCTGAGTCGGGTCATTTGTGTGAATGTCGTTTTGAGCCACAATGATGAACAGTTTTGTCAGTTATGCAACAAAAGTTTCTTTTTAACACACAGCAAAACGATGTTTTCCAGTATTTTCGGAGCCTACATATTATATTATGTAAAGATGACATCAGGTTCTCGTGAAGATCCGGGATAGAATAGGTCTTCAGCAATCCATGTCTCAAGAGGCGACTATGCTTGTCGTAAGAGGCGACTAACGGGATCGGATGGTCAGGCTCGCTGACTTGGTTGATGCATGTCATCGATCCCAATTGTGTGGATCGATGCTCATGATGTCAATCACTAGATTGTCTGGTCCAGATTCGATTATGTACAGACCGTCGTCATAGAGCTGGAATATTGCTGAGTGCGGCGTTAAACAAACAAACAAACACACGTAGTTGAAATTGCCTCAATGTCAGGCAGTATTATGGGCCACACAAATATGCATGGAGTAGGGCTCCTTAGCTTACTCAAACTAATCACATGTTACTACTATGAATACATCACAAATCGGCCGAACGTGAAAGCCGGAGGAAAATGTATGCAAACGTTTGACTTATCGACATAGTCACTGTACACGCATTTCCGTATTGTTTTTTAATGAATTGGATATAGGTTGTTTGGTTTGTTTGGACTTATAGTGACTTGAGTGAGGCATCATGGCGGATGTCAGCAAGAAGACGATTGCGAAGGCAGAGAAGGACCTAATGAGCCCAAAAGATACGAAGGTACTGTATTCCAAAAGAATACGATTTTTGTTTGTTGTTTATCGTCTCAATCAGCAGTATTTCAGCTGTATGGGACCTCTCCCGTGGTATAGTGGTAAAGCGTCCGCCCGGAGTGCGGAAGGTCCGGGGTTCGATCCCCGGCCGCGGCATGCCAAAAGACGTTAAAAAATGGTACACACACACACACACACACACACACACACACACACACACACACTTCTTTAATCCAAAGAGCTAATGAGTTGGGTATAACACCGCTTTTAACAGTATTCTAGTTATATCACGGCGTATCAGCTTTATGTAGGAGGAAAGCCCGAGGTGATGCAGGCCTCAGACGTTTACCACTTAGCACCAACGAGCACGGGTATGGTGCTGGTGCTGACACACCTAGAAACATAATCGGGGCGAACCGGGATTCGAGCCCACAATCATAGGTTTCTGGTGTGCCCAAGGGACACAACTCTGCACAGCGACTCGCGGCGCCTTAGACGACTGGGCCACTCGTGCCCCCTTTAAGCCTAAGACTATCACTGTGCCTTCTATTACTCTAGAGACGAACGTGTCATTCGAGAGGTTGTGGTATTGGGAGGTATTGGAATTGGAAATAGATGTATTTGGGAGGACGCGGCATTGGAGAGCTTGTGGTATTTGGAGGTAATGGTATTGGGGAGGTATTGCTGGGGGTATTGGGGATCGGAGGTGGTGTGATTTGGTGTAGCAGCATTGAGGAAGAGAGCGATATTGGGGAGGTAGTGGTGTTGGTATAGGTAGGTAGTGGTATTTAGGGGGTATTAGTATTGGGAGGTAGTGTTAATTGGGAGGTGGTGGTTTGGAGGAAATCGTTGTAGGCATTAGGGACGTAGTAGTGAGGTCGTGAGGTAGTGACATGCTGGGAAATAGAGATGTTGGGGAGATGGTAGTATTTGGGAGGTGGCGGTATTGTTAAGCAGTGGCATTTGGGAGGTGGCATTATAAGAAGTTAGCGGAATGGGGGAGGTATTGGTATTGGGAGGTATTCGTAGTAGATATTGAGGTAGAATTGAGATATTATGTTATTAGGGAGGTCGTGGTGTTTGGGAGGAGGCGTATTGGGGAGGTCCTGGTTTTGTGGAGGTGGTGGTATTGATGAGTTGCCAGAATTGGAATTATTCGGAGATACTGGCATTTGGGAATGGGTGGTATTCGGAAGGGAGTGGTATCGGGGAGTTTGTGGTATTGGGGAGGCGAAGAAGGTAGTATTAAAGAGATAGTATTATTGGGATTTAGTAGAATTAGGGAGGTAGGTGAACTTGGACACGTTAGGCGGTACTTGATTGAGTAGAGGGGTTGGAGAAGTAGCTGTATTGTGTTTATGGAGAGGTTGGGTTTTAGCATTTGTAGGGCTCTTTTTAACATAAAACTTTACTCAGAGTACCAATGACCTGTAAATGCCGTTTGGGTAAGATAACACACTAGGAACAACGTCATTCATTGGTTCAATGAAGTTATTCAAGTACGGATACTAACATATGCTGCCCCCTTTCTCTTGAAAGTAACATATCGATGGAATGAAATTTAAAAAAATGAACAAGGGTGTTTGTTGTTTGAAAAGACAAACGGTTACTTCACTGTGACCATGTCAGACCCCCCCCCCCCCCCCCCGATTCAGTCGCCTATTACGACCAGTGTAAAATGCTGGGGACAAAGTCCATCCCAGAATCCCCAGAGGGCACAACAAAATAATGTAGAAAATCGCCTAATTTCCTATTCAATTGTTGTTGATTTCAGGAGGACATGATGTTGGTCCTTGGGCCTCACATGAACTGGCAGGAGATGCTGTGTCCTGCCCCTCTCTCGGTGTGTCTCCTGGGGCAACTGGTCCTCGTCACGCTGGACAAGGACGTGTCTCTTGTGTCGGAACACATGACTAGAGATCGCTTCAAACACACCGAGTACCCGGAGTCTCTGCGGACCAGCATCCTTCAAGTTGCTGATGAGGGATGGAATGCTTTCAACCTGGCCAACAAAAACATGGATCAAATTCGGCTGCTGACACTGCAGATTCCTCAACACGTCAAGAACGCAGTCAAGGTAATTATTTTGACATTGAATATGGATTAAGGAATGACTTAATTTTAGTATATGCCTCAGTCTCCCAGGAACCGTGATGCTCTTGAACACCAGATTTTCTACTAGAAACCCTGAGTCTCTCAGACAACAAGAATCGCATTCAGCCGACCTGACGCTCTTCCAAATTCCATGACGCTTTCTTCTTGACACACTGACTTTCTCCAAAACAGTGACATCCCTTTTAAGACCATCTTACTCTCAACCACACATCTCAACTCTCCCAGACACCCCGTCTCTCTCTTTAACACACAGATTCTCTCCGAGACATCCTCACACTGTTCTTGACACGTGGCTCCCTCCCAGACTCCATGCATCTCCCAGACACCTAACCCCTCTCCTTGCCCCAAGGACAGTCGAAGACATGTTCCATGTTCAGTGTATCTCGGTCCCATATGGCTGTATTTCTGTTTTTCAGTACATTGTCAATGGATCAGAAATGGAAGTGCGCCATCTAGTTCCTGATTACTTAGCTAACATTAAACGCATTACTGACACATGCGTTGTACGGGCTGAAGAAGTGGAGACACGATTTTGTACTATCATGGCTTTGATAGGAGAACTACAGAAAGCATGCACATTTGCCGAAGGTCACTATTCTGAGAAACTGCTCAAAGCTGAAAAGGATCATGAGGTGAAGACATTGAGAATGAAGTCATTAGAAGAAAGAAAGAAGCTCGCAGAAGAGGAGTACAATGAATTACGCGACCGGTTTAAAAAGACCACCGAATCGTATCAAAAAGCCATGGACTCTATGCCATCTGGTTGGAGCATGATCGGTATGGACTTCGTGGAAGGGCTGGCTAAATGCACACTTGGTGTCTGCCAATCAGTCACCAATGCTGTTACAAAGAAGTCCACGAAAAATGACAAAGCCTCCAAAGACAAGCAGGTGCAGAAAGAAGAAGACAAGGAAGCTCTTCTGATGCTGGAACTCCCACAGCTATCACTTTGTGTGAAGACTCTCGTAACCAATTTTGATCAGATTATGCAGGGAACGGAAGTGGATCCTCTCTTGATGGTCGAGGCAACCTTTCAGGATATTGTTCAGACTTTGAAGTCCTACTCGGGAGTTTGTAAGCAGAAAGTAAACGGCATTGTAGATGACGGGTATGAACTCATCAAGATAATGAAGACTGCTAGTAAGCAGCTTACCAAGGACCAATCACAAGAAAAAGATGCGAAGCGTATTGCAGGAAGGCTGGAAGGAAATATGAAAGCACTGGAGACATTCTGTTCACATGCATTTGGACAGTCGGTGCAAACACCAACACCCATGATGTCCACTAAAGAGCAGGATAGTTCCAGTTCAGCTTCAGCAAGATATAGTGAACAGTGTAGATTCAAAGTTGAACAACATGCCTCTTCTCTTGAATCAATCAGAGAGGACTTCAAGAGCAAAAGCAAATCATTACAGGAAACCAATGCCCATGTGACGTCAGTCATTGAAGAACTTGCACACATTAATCTTGACAAGGTCAACTTTGGTGAAATAAAACAGTTGTTGCAGAGAGGTATCAACGCTCTTGGACAGGTTCGAACACAATGGGGAAAGTTGGTGAGATTTTTCACAACAATTTCAAACATCATCAGATGCTCCATGGATGAAAATGTGAAGAATTTCGTCCAGGGCGCCGAGCGAGGGGCAGAGTTTCGTCTTGAGTACACGATGTCCGACATGATGAGGGACACAATCTATGTCCAAGCATCTGAAGCCAACAAGCTATCGTACATGGTGAACAACTTGGCAGAGATGTATGTTGAAGTGTCCGAGAAGCATCTGATGGATCAAGTGGCTAGTCTTGGAGAGCTGCTTGCATTGGGTGGAGAGAACGACAAAGGCGCCGTCACCCTAAAGATGACCCAGTTGAAGAGACAGGCAAAGGACGCCACGGTGTCGATTGGTTTGATTGTTGCCCAGAAACAGCTGGAGTTCGACACAAAGGTGCAGAGGAGGATAGAAAGGATTCAAAGGGAGATGAAAGCAGTCTTACCTCCTCCTCCGCCAGAAGATCCAACAATCAAACAGCAGAAGAAAGAAGCAATTGAAGAAGCTGAGAAGTTCAAGGCAGAACACAAGGTGGTGGATGAAGATGATTGGGCGTGATCTCCTCCTTTAAACCCCATATAGTTTTGAGGATGGTTGGTTAGCCTCGTCACGCGGAATACCCGTGTTCAATGGATATGTTGAGGTCCATTTCTACTGCCACGCGCTTGATATTTTTTATGAAATATACTAATGAAGTCATAATCCCTTACAATCAAACACTGTTGTGTCCAACTTTAATGTGTCGAACTTATGGTTGTCTTGAAGTAAAAGCTTGGCTGCTGGGTATTTTTTCTTTATTTACTCGATGTATATTCGTGGGTCCCTTCAACTTCGACGCAAGGGTGTTTGACTAAATTTAAATATGGATTTTTTGGTTTTGTATAAAGTCACATACGTTGTTTATTGTATAATATTGACATTATCCACTTTTCTGTTCTTCTTGCACCAGCCCCTGAGTCTTTTTGTCTCAATTTTCAAGAACGAGCTACGTTCTAAGATGTACATGTATGTTCTACAGGCTTACTTAAAATGGTTTGTTTTCTTTACTTGGATATTTTCAACCTTGAGTTTATGTTTTTTTTCATTTGACGCTCGAAAAACGTTTGGAGGAATATCACACTCATTAGATATTCAAAAGTTTAAAATGCAAAAACCTGTTAACCAAAGTCTCCAGTGTACAAATATACACGTTCAGCTGTTAATGTTTACATCTGTATCACCTCCTGATGATTCTGGTCCCCCATCACCTTTGCTTGCCGTAAAGGACCCAGATGGAGGAGGATTGGTTGGTACAATGTGCTACACAGGTGATTAGGTTTTGTTTGTTTGTTGTTTAACGTCGCACTCAGCAATATTCCAGCTATATGACGGCGGTCTGTAAATAATCGAGTCTGGACCACACAATCCAGTCATTGACATCGGAAGCATCGATCCACGCAATTGGGATACGATGACATGCATCAAACAAGTCAGCGAGCCTGAGGTGATTAGGTGTATTGTACCCGGAGATGTGCACGATTACGTTTTAACCACTGACTTGCCCTGATCAGATTTGATAATTCACAACAATGATATTACTTTAGTATTAACACACCTTGTATAATCCTGTTTTCAAATACAATTATTTCGTTGCGATTATATACTTGAGGAAACGCTTTTGAGTATTAAACATTAGTAATGTTAAAGAACATCGCTCTTCATATTTGCTGTTATTTACCTCTGTGGAGGTCCGTAACTTTAAATCCATATACTTAAGAACAATGTTTTTCATAATAGAGGTACATACTCATGTGTATTGTACTGTATATAATGTTCATCCATTGACAAAACATCATGTATAACCAGGGTTTGTATTAAAGCTCCTTCTTTGTGATTATGTACTTGAGGAAACGGTTTTATGAATGGTTAATTATTGTTACAGATTGAAAACTAATTACAATGTTTTTGTTGTGAAAATATTGGAAATGTGGAAATCTATTTGGAATAAACTTCTCTTTTTGAAAATATTTTTGTTTTTATTAAATAACTGTCATGTCACAGAAGGGATAGGTTCCTGGTGTCGTGGACACACGTGGTCCTGTTAAGCAACGTACATGTACATGTAGGTCGCGGAGAGGAGATGCATGGGCGGGTCACCGTTTCCTGGAAGTCTGGGTTTTCCCCAAGGCTCCTATGAGCTGACATTAAAATCAATAGGCGGATCCCCCCCCACCCCCGCACTTTCCTTTTAAAAATGTAATGTAGTATGCTGTAGTCAGAAAAATAGAGAGGATGATGATATTTTGGACCCATCCCTGTTAAATATTGCTGGATCCGCCCTTGAATACAATCCATTGACCAGGGTGATGATGATGCTCTGTGTTCTGTGAACGTGATCCCCATCGTGGAGAAGTGCAATACTCCGGCAAACTAAGGGTGAATGGGTTTGGCGTTAAACCGCTCTGGAATATGTTAGTTATGTCACAGCACGTGAGCTCAATGTGGAGAAAAGCCCGAAGTGATGGACATTTATCGCCGAACACGGGCTGGTACTGACAAACCAAGAAACATAGTTAGGTCGAGAACGAGCATATATATTCCCACGATAATGGCAATGATGCACCACACATCAAAACTGGGATTCGAACCAAACATCAGCGGATCCTGGCACAGGACGCATTACGTCACCGGATATTTCTGGGCCACCTGTACCGCCCAATACAATAAAGAAAGTGTCACGCTTAAGATTAAACGTAAATATAGGACTCGTGACGCCTTATCATATATCTAAGCATTTAGGGATATTTACTTATTGCCTTATTGAACTGTATTTTTATATATAAATAAACAGTATTTCAGTTATATCCCTGCGTGTATCTTTGATGTGTTAGGAAACCAGAAGTGATGCAGGACTTAGATGTTTAAGCCGTTGGTGGAATCAACGACCAAAGATTCGTGCCTATGATAACAGGATTCTGGCACACTTAAGGGACGCAACTCTGCAACTCTTTGAGCAAATAATCATGGGTGAAGGTTACCAAATACGTGAAAATGTCTATTACCGACTATAGTATTAATATTCAAATCTACTGTTGTATCCCCCAGCAGTGATCTGTAACTTTCATATTGAGGGATGCGTTATGAGTGAGTTTTTTACGCCTCTTTTAACAGTATTCCACTTATATCACGGCGTGTCAGGTTAATGTAGGAGGAAAGCCCGAGGTGATGCAGGTCTCAGACGTGTACCATTTCGGTGAAACCCACGAGCACGGGTATGGTGCTGACAGACCTAGAAACATAATAGGGGCGAACCGGGATTCGAGCCCACAATCATAGGTTCGGGCGTGCCCAAGGGACGCAACTCTGCACCACAACTATTCACGAGTTTCATAAAATTGGTTTTACACGAGAGCGAGTTTAGTATTTTATTTATTACTTGTCATTTATAATGTTTTTAGAATTATACTGTTGAGTATAAATAGGCTGACACCTACACGATCCATGGCATAATCCTATTGAGTTTAACACAATAATACTTCAAACACGTCAAAAGTTTAAACGTATGAATTTAATATTATACAATGGTCCAGCTTTAGAATTCAGGCGTTCGTCCCACAAAATTATCGTAGTGCTAAGGCTATCACAACTCACATAATTTAACTTAGACTAACGACTGTCGTTGCGCTAGAGTACGATCGCCTTGAGGAACGGGGCCTTGCACCTCAAAGTTTACAATCACGTCACAATACCCGATGACGTAATTTGTTGAATTTTGTTGCAAGTTCCATCGGCGAAACAATGCCATGTGACGTCAGCCTAGCAACAAGGTTGCTGGGGTCATCGAGTGTGCATAAGCTCCTCCCAGTGATCTATCATCTCCACACACAATGTCGTTGAATACGCCGAGGGATGTTGAGAGCTTTCAATATTTGTTCGTGAAACGTGTTCCGAGAGTACATAAGCACGCGTTTTGGTATTACACAATGTGTAATAAAGCTGTATGTTTATTAAACAGGTGATCTCTTCACGGGCAAGTAATAAAAGATGGTACATGTTGTTACCCTGTCTGGCGCTCGACATAAAGGGGCTAAAACAAGGACAGATCCGCTCGGAGTCAGTACACTGTGTCTGAGTGGGGTATTCATGTTAAACTGCGGCATGGTATCTCAGTGGGCTAGCACTATAAATCGGCATCAGTCCGGACTGTTCCATGATCCTCCGAGTGGCTGGAATCATCAACAATATTTTCACTGAACTGGTTCACTAACATCCTGGCGACATTTCGTATAAACCACAGAACTTACTTGAAAACACATTAAGCATTATGCTATGTATAAGTCGTATCTTGAATAAATTTTGTGATGAATAAAATTTCGTTTTGGTTTATAGAGTGCCATACTCAAATTGAAATACAGAAACAAAAATCGATTATGTCATTACATTCCGTAAAAAAACACATTACTTAGTATAACACTGAAATAAATGTTAAGCACCACTAACTATCATATATTTTCACATAAAAAATGTTCTTTGGTCAAGTCGTATCTTGTTTATAATGTCTGATGAAAAACATTTCGCTTTTGTTTATGGAGTGCCATACTCACATTGAAATGCCGACAACGAAATCGATAATCTAATAGTGTTGTCTGTGACTGTTCCATGGCAACAGTTTTTACATTTGGCCAATCTAAGCACAAGTTTACTTAATTTTTCACTATGGCCAGTTTTTGGACGGAACAAAAAATAAATTCTCGAATGCGAGGTACGTTATCAGGTCTTCAGCACCCATGCTTGCCGTAAAGGGCGACTATGCTTGTCGTGAGAGGGGACTAACGGGATCGGATTGTTATGCAATTTCATTGCAACGATATCTACATTGTAGATATGCAGCTGCGTGATGTTTTGGTGAGATTAAGGATATCTACAATGTAGATATTGCTACGATGAAATTGCGTCACAATGCTTTGCAGACCATTGTGACGTCATTGGTTAGCATGATCTCACCCAAGCGATATCTCCTGTGGGAGACAGTTTTGAATGATAAAGGACATTTAGGCACAAAGTAGGCATTCCTATGGACACCAGCTATATTTTTTGGGCATATGAATCGGAATGTCAGCTCGAATTTAAAAAATGGAAAATTGGCCATGCGGTTCAACTTCAAATATAGCGATGATAATTCTGATTTGTATAATTACGAACAAATAGTAAATTCTTTATCAATGTACTACAAATGAAAGAAACCAGTAAAACCGCCTCATCTGTTTTAGATTTAGAGGGGGCACGGGTGGCCCAGTCGTATAAGGCGCCGCGATTCGGTGTACAGAGTTGAGTCCCTTGGGCACACCCGAAACTATGAATGTGGGTTCGAATGCCGGTTCGCCCCGATTATGTTTCCAGGTTTGTCAGCACCATACCCGTGCTCGTTGGTTTCACCGAAGTGGTAAACGTCTGAGACCTGCATCACTTCGATCTTTTCTCCCATATTAAGCTGACACGCCGTGATATAACTGAAATACTGTTAAAAGCGGTGTTAACTCACTCACTCACTCATATTTAGATCTATACAACATGAGTGGCGGTGGGGTAGCCTCATCACGACGAACACCCGGGCTGGATTCCCAACATGGGCACAATGTGTGAAGCCAATTCTGGTGTCCCCCGCCGTGATGTTGCTGGAATAGTGTTCTCTTTATTTCCAGCAATATTCTAACAGCTCCATTCATAAACACATGCTTCTGGTAATAGTTGAAATGGTACAAAGGACAATGTTACCAGGAAAGGAACCTATAGTCATTGAAATAGAATCACGAAATACCGCGAAGACGGCTGCATGTGTGCTTATACCTATAAACAAGCCATTCCGCTTGTAATGGATCCTGTTTCGTTTACAGATTCGAGTTTTATATGTATTGTTGATTTGAGATTGCAGGACCAAGTTTTTGTACTTACCGTCACATGGCCGAAGTAAAGATGGCTCGTATTGAGCTCGAGTTTTGTCATTAATACAAAGGTATTACACCGCTGATATATAATACTGCTTATGGTAAAGACAAAAATTGTTTCCAGTAAAAACAAAACGTTCATAGTGAGTTAACTCCCTTGCCTCGGGAAGATGACCGGAAGGGGCGAGAACTAGCCTAGGGGGCGGGTCAGCCAGTACCAACTCCCATGAGGCCGAGTGTGTACAGGAGGAGGGGGATTTATACCGCGACATCGGCTCTGTGTCTTTTGTCATGGTGATTTGTTATCGCTGCTTCTGTGGAGCAGAGTCTCCTCTGAACATTTTTCTGTCTCCTTTACTCCATGGCGATGACGTAAAGTCAGATTAGGACGAAGTGCTTTTCTGATTGTCCTTCATTGATGCGCTTCAGTCGAATTCACCTACGTCTGTGACGAAACTTTATGGTTTAATAAATGTTTTTAGGTCTTATCTCGTTGGCATTATCATTATTGCCTTGATAATCCACAGATATTGGTGAAGTGCTTTCATGGAGGGTCTCACTAGGTAGAGGTAGTAAGCAGTAATCCGGATCTGGTCACTCATGGCGTTGTGATATGTATAAATGCGCCTCTGCGATCACGATAATAAACAAAATATGCATAGATTCGATGCTAATATGGTGCGATTTAAAGGTGCGTCAGAAACAGATTACCGCCTGTAATATATGATTTATCTTACAACTCACTATTTCAAAACGTATCTAATGGGACGTAACCGCCATTAGTGTAGTAATCTCTATTTCAATCTATAAACTTTTGATAAATTCAAATAATGTATCAAGATTTGTACTTAAAATATCTATATTTTATAATACACACACATAACTTAATTTAATTTAGCCTAACTAAATACAATTTCAAGTTGTCCACGGCTCTGAATAAATACAACGCCAATAGTTTGAACCGTCTGATATGTTATGTTCAAACGTCTATGCATATCGGTTACATTTTGATCAATAATTATCAAAAAACAAATACCTTTCTTCTAAAATGATATCAAGATCCGCCACAAAAACAGTGAAAGCTATACCCTGAACTTCCTTTGACAACCATGTACACAAATATGATTTGTTTGTTTGTCGTTTAACGCGGCAGTCAACATATTCAACTATATTCACAAATCGTAAATAATTAACTATTATAACTCAATGTTAAATACATTCGATGCCTCTGTAGTAGCAGTAATCGTCGTTTTAATTGGTCGTTATAACTACACATGCATTTGGAACTGAACAAAAACTTTGGATCATGAATAGTTGGGGGATATAATTGGTCGTGAAAAGTGAGCACACAATTTTATAATATTATCCCCAAAATATTAATGATCCCAAACTTTTTTGTTCAGTGGAAAAAAACATGCCTATATTGTTTCAGTGACGTGGTGTATTTTGACGTCCAGGAGAAGCTCGTCTATCGTAGACGTCTGACCAACCTGCAGATATCTCCTCCCCCGCGTGTTATAACAATAATCCCTCAATGACCAGGAATGTTTGTTTGTTTCTTGTTTAACGCTGGCGGTCTGTAAATAATCGACCAGACAATCCACTGATTAACATCATGAGTATCTATCCACTCAATTAGGATACGAAGACATGCATCAACCAAGTCAGCGAGCCTGACCTCCCGATCCCGTTAGTCGCCTCTTACGAAAAGCATAGTCGCCTATTACGGCAATCATGGGTTGCTGAAGACCTATTCTACCCCAGATCTTCACGAAATGGAACCATCCTGTTTGTTTTTTGTTAAACGCCGCACACAGCGATTTTCCAGCTATATTACCATCCGATCAGTTTGTCGCCTCTCACGACAAGGATGTGTGGGTTAACCAAATTCTAATCATTCTTCGTAGTACTTCATGGTACTTGATCAGACACTTCACTTCAACAGCAGCTAAAACCTTTTGAATTTATGTTCTAAGTAAATACAAAACCCTAAATTATATGTATCTGTGATTGTGGGTTAACTTAAATGTTCATCAAAATTGAATATCATTGAGGAAATAAAGATGAAATAAGAAATGTACCGATGTGATATATGTATGTGGGTTATGTATTTATTTTAAGTAACACATGTCAGTTGGTCTGTAGTTTCGAGGATATCCTACAACCAGCTACATTAAGCTGGGGGAGGGGGGAGGGACACACGGGTGTCCCAGTCGACAAAGGCGCCGCAATTCGCTGTGCAGAGTTGCAGTCCTTAGGCACATCAGAAACATCTGATCGTGATTCTCAGATGGAGACCCTACTCTTCCAACTGCACTATGATATCCTACAATCTGTACAGCTTCTATAACTTTGAAACCGCATATCTTGCTATTGTGTGATTTTAGGCCTTGAGCATAAACTTGAATGGGTGCTGCTTTGGAAATTGTTATTGATAACTCAATCTGAACCATGACCTCTTGCATGACTTTGGTCGTTCCTCACACACATAACTGAGGTGAGGTGAATTGAGGTTTAACGTCGCGTTCAAGATTATTGCACTTATATAGCGACGTGCTCATGCCGATTTTACAGTGCTAGCCCACAGAGATACCATGCCGCAGTTTAACATGAATACCCCGCTCAGACAGTATACTGTCCATGTGTTATAGCCCCTTAATGCGCAACGCGAGGCGAGTCGCGACAAGATTGTCTTTTAACATTTTTTCGTATCCGGACCTTCCTCTCTCCGGGCGGACACTTCACCACTACACCACGGAGGCGGTCCACACACTACTGACCCGCTCACTCACTAATGACGTTGAACATGGCAGTCACATGATGCGTCCTGATTACGATGTGCAGAGACCACTTGCACTACAAGGGGGTCACCACACACATTCTGGCCCCCTTACCAGCTTGCTGAAATACCGTTCAAATATTGTAACCATCACTGACTGGCCCTTGACACTATAGTTGAACAAGCAGATCCAAGGCATCCAAGATACGTGTTCTAAAGGTTACTAGTAGGTATTGTTCACAGGAGGGATAATGTTCTGAGACATCCTCTACTGAAGACAATGAATATTATCTTCACCAGGAACTTGATCCAGATCTGTAATTCCTTGACACTTTTCTTTGTCCTTGACCTTGGCAATGACAGGGGGCGAGTACTGAGGATCGATACCCAGATTCAGGGATGATTTGATTCTCATGTGAGCTCTTTCTGGAAGCATTCTGAAACATTGGTGTTGCAAATGGACATGAGTCATGAACTGTATAGCACACAGTATTCTCAGGACATAACAGAGAAACATGATGCAGGGAAGTTCCCCTTATGTCCTGTTTGAACACGTAAAGCCATACCTCAAAGCTGTACAAGGGTAAACAGGGTAAACAGGGTAAACAAGAAGACTCAAATACCGGCAGTCCAAGTGTAGGTACACGGTATTACTGTTTTAGGTACTACTGCTTATTGCTGAATCAACACTCGGCTATTTGCAAGTGTTATTTAACTTTGATGATTACTTACCTGATCAGAGGGCTAAACGTGGCAGCCACAAAGGCACGAGATACATACAAACATTAAAGAGGTTCAAATATAAAAGACACAACACAACTTAGCATACCACGTACTTACTGCATAAACATGATTATCACGATTCACGGATAATTGATTTAGACATGAACAAGAATGACGTTTTCAATATGGCCGACAACACCCATGTACAGGGACCTTCCTCGCCCCTGAACAAAAGTGGGTGAGTGAATGTTGTTTTATGCTCCAGTCAGCAATACTCCAGCGGCATCACATCAGGCTGCTGTAACTGGAGCCCAGATAAGCCGGTGTTTGGAAGCATGAGTCCAATTCCGAATGACAGGGAATGATGACACAGTCAGCCAGAGCTCGCAGTGTCAAAACTTGGGGTGCGTTGCAAAAAGCCAATCGCTTGCAAGCAATGCTCCTTTCAACTATCAGTTCTGAGATCGCATGGCGTGCTGGGAACTACGCTGCCCAAGAATCCCCACGGGGAGACAAGCATGGGATAGTGGGAACCTACTCTCTTCCAGAATCCAAACGGAGACAAGCATGGGGTAGTGGGAACCTACTCTCTTCCAGAATCCACACGGAGACAAGCATGGGGTAGTGGGAACCTACTCTCTTCCAGAATCCACACGGAGACAAGCATGGGATAGTGGGAACCTACTCTCTTCCAGAATCCAAACGGAGACAAGCATGGTGTAGTGGGAACCTACTCTCTTCCAGAATCCACACGGAGACAAGCATGGGATAGTGGGAACCTACTCTCTTCCAGAATCCACACGGAGACAAGCATGGGCTTCTAGGAACCTAGTCTTCCCCGGAACCCCCCAAGCATACAAGGATACACTTGACCACTTGTAGCAAGAAGAGCAAGAAGCATTTTCATAAATGCATCTCAACAACTGTACAAATTCCGTTTTTGATAGGTGTTTTATCATTATCGACAAGAGTGTACTTACTCGGAGAACTTCAGGCCCAGCCACAGAGACTTCGGTACATGTACTACAAACTCTCCTCTCAACATTCCATCAATGGCGGCGAGCGCCGTCTCCCTAGGACTCAGTAGACGGTTGATTCTGCAAACATAAAAAATGGTTTGTTTGTTGTTTAACTCCGCGCTCAGCCATATTCCAGATATATGACGGCAGACTGTTTTATTAAATAATCAAGTCTGGATCAGACAATCCAGTGATCTATATTGTGAGCAACGATAACCTGACCACCCGATTCATTTGGCCTCTTACGACCAGCATAGGTTCCTGGGGACTATCCCGACATCCCCACGGGGTATGTACATTGTAATGATAAATTAATAAAAAAAATGGTTTTTGACATTAACAATGTATTCCTCCAAACGCCAGGGGAATGGGTCCAAGTTGAATATGAACTTTGCTGTTTCCGTAACAAAGTGATGATAATCATAATTTTCAATATCCTCTTCAGATTGGGAGCATGGATGGCCCATTCGTCTTAGGTGTCGCGTTTCCCCTTCGCTTCCCTTAGGCGTGTCAGAAACCTACAATCGTTGGTTTAAACTCCGAAGACCTGCATCACTTCGGAACACGCCGTGATACGACTGAAATAATGTTCAAACTGGCGTAAAACCAAACTCACACACTCACCCGCTCACTCACTCACCCACTCACCCACTCACTCACTCACCCACTCACTCACTCACTCGTATGATAGAGTAATTATCTAACTGGGTTTAGGTCAGTTGGCCTCTAATTATTTAGACGCTGTAGATTCAGAAACTCTAGCATCTCTAGCAGAGAAGATCGACCCACCTGTCTTTGGGGTTGCGGCACAATCCTGTACTAACAAAGGCCGGGCAGACGACTGTCACCTGTATCCAGCTGTAACCTAGCAACGCCATCTCCTCCGCCAAAGCTTCGGAGAAAACCAAAACTGCCGCCTTGGAGGAACTGCAATAGAACCTAACCTGTTACCTAGTGAGAGGTTGTGGTTAATGGTTACCAAGGGCACAGGACATACAAGACAACCTATCCCACAGGAAATAGAGTAGAAGTGCCAGCATTATCAAACTGTTCCCCAGCTAAGATAACACCCCGTTTACTACGACCCGTGAAGATCCGGGTTATAATAGGGCCTCAGCAACCCATGCTTGTCGTAAAAGGCGACTATGCTTGTCGTACGAGGCAACTAACGGGATCGGGTTGTCAGGCTCGCTGACTTGGTTGATGCATGTCATTGTATCCCAGTGGATGACATGAATAACTGGATTGTCTGGTCCAGAATCCATTATTTACACCATACCCGTGCTCGTGGGTTTCACCGAAGTGGTAAACGTCTGAGACCTGCATCACTTCGGGCTTTCCTCCCACATTAAGCTGACACGCCGCGATATAACTGGAATACTGTTAAAAGTGGCGTTAAACCCAACTCACTCACTGACTGCGGCGTTAAACAACAAACAAGACCAAAAAAACACCCGGTTACATGACGTCACAGTTGTGGAGACAATCCTTGGTAGGTTGCAGTCTTTGGTGGGCATTTAGAAGTTGGAAGAAACATGAATACATGACACATGTTATGGATAACAACTTCTTTTATTCCTTGTAACGACGTTTCGGGTCTACTTCTTGATGAAGGAGCAAGAAGCTGCTCTGCAACGTCGTGACAAAGAAAAGTTGTAGAATGTTCAAATTTGTTACCAGTAAAACAGCGGAAATAAACTGATATTATGGTACTATGAACTGCCAGGCAATTGAAAGTATACAACCATGTTTGTGGTGGCTAAAATGAAACAATCAGGAAATGGTTATCCGATGGTGATGTATTTGATACGGGTATCATTGTTATGTTTTGGCTGTTTTACATTACAGTGGCGTTGATAACGTTTGTAATTTTGTAGTTAAATCCAATGTTCAAGTGTATACTTTTTTTCGTCCTGTTTAATGCTCTGCAGGACTAAACGTTGGTAAATGTGTTGTGAAAAAAAGAAGCAGTTCGGCGCCTCCAATCAGAGAAAAACATCTGTTCGCAGTGATCGAAAATATACTCTGTCTCAAAAATTAAATTTTAAAGAAGAAAAATGCTGGACAAAAATATTTTGTCCTTAGGTTGTAAAGAATAATAAATGAGTGCGGTGTTAAACAAACAAACAAAATATAAGTCTGCTGGGTAAATGGCTAGATTGTGTCATGGGTAAAGATAGTGGTCTGTTGTTAGGAAGCATGTTTTACACCTGTAGTCGACGAGGTAGGCCGTCCCCGACTTTGCCGATGCTGAAGCTATGTTGAGAATGACGCCGCGGTTGCGATCTATCATCCCGGGCAGAAACTCCCGAACTGTCTAAAAGGAACGAGAATACACATCAATATACATGTGAACTAATTCAGAAGTGTGGAGTTCAGGCCTAGTTCCACAAAACGATCCAAGCGGTACGACAATCGTAAGGCAATGTTAAAGTATAGGAGTTACGACAGTCTGAGTGCAAAGATCACTTTGTGGAACGCGGCCCAGGCTGATTAGAAGTGTAACTAATCGAATATGGATCAGGTTATCCAGTGATTGATCAACGCCGTCGGGTACGATGCCACGCCATCTGCCACGCCACAGGTCGTGGCCGATCCCGCACCCGTCTTACGCAACCCCTGCGTGGATTGTGGTTTAAGAACAGGTTCCCAGAAACCTATGCTGGTCGTAAGAGGCAATCGATGGATCGGGTTGTCAGGCTTGTTTACTTAGTCTATTGCGTGTCCTCGTACCTCGACGCCGTGGATCTTTGTTCCTAATATCAACCACCCGATCCCGTTAGCCGCCTTTTACGGCAAGCATGGGTTGCTGAAGACCATGATTCTATCCCGGATCTTCACGGGTCTTTAAACAACAAACAAATAAACATACGACAACCAATGTTACCCCAAATGATAATGATAATGATACCCATTATTATTATTATTATTATTATTATTATTATTATTATTATTATTATGATTATTGATCTACAGATGATCCTTTACTTATGGTTCTTACCAATCATGGTATTTACTTATTTCCAGTAGCTATACAATGATATAATTTGTAATATAAAATGACCAAAAAGGAATCTCCGGAGAAATCACGGTATTCCGTCCGTGCAGACATTTATATTAACATTTTTTAACGTTCAGAAATCAAAACAATCCTCGTCAAGAAGTAGGCCAATTACTCGTACTACATATAACATACATGTAAGTAAAATACATTGAATTGATTTACATTGTAAAGGTAAAATTCGACAGTTACTATATTCATGGAAAAAGTAAAGCAAAACCAACAAAGATGCAGTGCCTACCCAGAACTGAGCCAAAGTGTTGACCTCAAACGTCTTTCTGATATCTGCTGACGTCATCTCTAGGAAAGTCCCTCCATTCAACACCCCAGCGTTATTCACCAACACATCAACACCTCCGACATCTCCCCGGAGGCGCTCCGCCACGTCCTTGATGTCGTCTGCGCGGCTGACGTCACATGTGTAGGTGGAAACTTTGGCGCCGACAGCCCGAACATCATCAGCAGTGTTCTCCATGTCCTCCTGTCGGAACAATGGAAGACGTGACCACATATACCACTCAAAACAAGTTAAAGAACACCAACAAGTAAAAGGCTGTGTGTTACAATACCCACCAGCCATGGCAGAGTAACTATAGCCATGTGGCAAAATCGTTCAAAATAGTTCAATGACATTTCCAGAGATTATGTTTTTGGCCGCTGAGTCTTTTTAAAATATTACTGTTTATATTGAACACCCTTTTGTCATTTTGACTGACAGTTGGGTCTTCAATCTCTTGATAATGAGATTATGAATGACTGAGTTTGGTTTAATGCATTTCAGTTTTATCACGGCTGTTATCGGTATGGGGGAGGGAAGTCCGGAGACGCATGCGGGTTGTTGACGTGTACCACTTCAATGAAACCTACGAACATGGTCTTTTCAGACTAAGGAGAACTATTTGTCTGAATCTTGTGAGGTAAGGTGAAAGGGGTTTAACGTCGCGTGTGTGTGTGTGTGTGTGTGTGTCTGTGGCTGATTGTGCTAGTCAGGACTAATGCCGATTTTATAGTGCTAGTCCACTGAGATACCATGCCTCAGTTTAACATGAATACTCCACTCAACACCGTTAAGGGGCTAAAACAAGGACCGGTCTGCTCGGAGTCAGTATACTGTGTCTGAGATGGATATCTATGTAACACTGCGGCACGATATCTCATTGGATTAGCACTACAAAACTGGTAGTGGCCCAGACTTGTTGAAACACACACACACACACACACACACACACACACACACACACACACACACACACACACACGTCAGAATGTCAAAAGAAGCGTAAACAAAATACAACAGACGGCGTCGTCCACGGACTTTGGATCTCGAGGCCACCTCAACTTACGATCAAATTGCATCTAAAATGAAGAGATTAAATTAAGGAGTCAAATTTATTACAATCAACCTGTTTTTAAATCCAGTCTCAATTGTACAGGCAATATCTATATTGACTCAAAATGTCAGTCAATATTTACATTGCCTAAATAAATCAGTCAGTATACATATTGCCTGGTTATAGACATTGACTGTAACATAGATAAGTGCAATTACCTTGAACAAGACGTTGAACCCCATTTCACCTAACCTCAGCTACTGATAGAACACCTAGAACAGATACACACTTACCACATTGATGTCCCAGAGAATGACGTCTGCTCCAAGGCGCCCAAACTCCAACGCCATCTCGCGGCCAATTCCATGACCACCGCCCGTGATGAGCACGCGCCAACCCGTGACGTCACGGCGTCCAGGGGGAAACAGCAGCTTACAGAAGGATTCCAAATATAAGTAGATAATTTGACCACAGGTATACAAGACCTCTGCCAGCGATAAACCCATCCTCAGACGACAAGTTGCAGACGACAGATATAAAAACGCTGTAGCCAGTCTCCGACTTCGCTGTTGAAGTTGTTGATGAAAAGTCACTTAAACCCAGACTTCACTTGAGATGTCTTCAAACCAGTCGCAATCGCTTTACCCTGAATGATAAAAGCGACGAGTGCATTTCGTACTCTCTACATTGGAGCGCACTTGTGAGACCGATATGTTCGTCTTCCTGGCGCTCTTCCTCATTCCCTCACCCATGCGCAACAAACCACACTTTAAGGGTTAAGAACACAATTTGTCATACAGATAACAGTACACCTCCTATTTTAAGTTCAATCGCATCAAACTGTTCAGTTCAAGTTGAACGTAGTGAATTATTGTAAAAGATAGTCGTCATGGCGTATTAATATGATTAGACGTCGGTGTTCGGAAACCTACTGCAGGTATCAGTTGACGCACACTAGTGAACCGTCCAGTGAATGTAGACGACATCCGTAAAGAGTGAGGGTCGAGAAGAGACCATGGCTACAGCCCTTCCTGCACTGGTCGTTATCTGAGTTTGGGCGATAGCAATGCTATTTGTTGGTTTACAATCTCTACCCGTCGCTAAATATACACCACCCTGGAGTCTCTATACTGGTTTGAGTTATCAAAAACACTTAAATTTAGACACTCTAATCTGTATTTAAAGGGTACTTAAATTGATAAAACAATTCCCAATCGGGCAATTTGTACCCAACTCTTGACACCTATAGCTTGTACCCGGGTAGGGGCGGGTACCTGGTTAGTAAATTTTGACTCCTCCCAGCCCTACCGCAGAAGTCTCCAAACACTATATATATATATATATATATATATATATATATATATATATATATATGCATACAAACAGAGTCTCACCTGGTGTAACGCCAAACAGGGTCGTGGTCAGAAACAACGCCCACTCCATTTCCCAACAACGACCAGATAAGAAACTATGAACTACAACTATGCCTATGGTATCTACACACTTGTCTTCCAGAATAAATTATCTGTTCCGACCTGACCTTGTATCATCATTCACCAAAAAGGGGCAGTGGGGTAGTCTAGTCGTCAAAGCGTTTGCTCGTCACGCCGAAGACCTGGGTTTGATTCCCCACATGGGTACAATGTCTGAAGCCCATTTCTGGTGTCCCCGCCGTGATATTGCTTGAATATTGCTAAAAGCGGCGTACCCATCGCCCCGTCAAAAATGTGTGAAAAAGAGCGTTAAATGCGCGACACCGCGACAAATGGCGAAAATGTCCGTTGTCGCAATGTCGCGCTTTGACTAATTTTGACACATTTTGCTTGTTTTGGGAAGGGTGACAATGCGACAATGTCCCTTGTAGTATTCCATACATGCATGGAACGCAGATCTGCCAATTCTAATATCAAACTCTCAAGTCAACATTAACAAGAAAACAGCGTTGTCACTGCCCCACCCCCCTCCATCGGGCACATTCCAATTTGAGGTGCTTACCTCAAAGCTGATTTCCTACCTTGAAGTAGGCACTGCAAACAGGATGCACAAAATCTAAAGCAGGGAGAGGGTCACTCTGCAAACAATAATAATTGCGGCATCAAATTTGTAACACAGCCTTGACAAGTATGTCTTCCATAAGCTTGCAAAGTGTTAGTCATGTAACTTCAGTAGTTCCTGAGAAAACGTTTCCCCAATGCAGCCACTCAGTAAAATAAGCAAAACAAAAACATTTTTTTAGAAATACCAAAACCTCACAAGGCATCAGTTCTGCATTTCTTTGATACATAATTATGCAAAGTGTCATAATTAAATATTAAACGGTTTCCGGGTTAAGCTGCTACATGTATTTGAGTTTAAATCCAGTTTGTTGCCAAGGAAACACAATTAAATATTTTGTTTCAGAAGTAACAAAACATCAAAAAGTACCATACAGCATGTGTTTGATACACATGAACTGTTGCAATACAAAATATTAAACGGTTTCATGTTATGCTCTGGAAACGAATGCTGCCGGGACGTTTTTGAGAGTAATTCCAGTTTGTTGCTAAGGAAACACAAAAAGATAAATTGTTTTAGAAATACCAAAACATAAAGAAATATTAAAGTTTCGTGACGGACGGACCCCAGCCATTCCTATAACCCCTCCCACTTCATGACGGGGGGTGGTTGTAAATAAATCTCAGTGCAAATGAATCCACATAGGGTTCCGACCCGTCATCCTGCGGCCCCTGGGTCCTGGCTCTCAAACCCTTAAACTTCATTACTTAAAAGTGATTGGAAGCTCTGCTAATCTGGTTCAGTTACGTGAATTAAGCTTAATGTGTACGTTATATTATTCCTCCTTTATGCGTTTCTATTTCTTCCAAAAGTGGATTTGGCACAGAAAAAGGTCACGTGGAAAGGACCACAAGTGAACGGGAGTGATTGTTTATGGTCAAAGGGAGGCAATCGTGTGTGTACAAGAGTTAGCTCCCTGGCCTTTTACTCCGCACAGCGATTCACTTAAAACTTCACTCAATGCCGTTAACCGAAGGGAGCTAACCCCGCGCAAGAAATCAAGTGTTATCGCCCCTGTCTCAAAGGGAGGTAAGCATGTTTAGCAAATGGTAAATAGGATTTACACTTACTTCCCTTTGACCATCAACGACATAAGTTATCGAATCAAATGTGTGTTTGTTTGTAGTTTAACACCGCACTCAGGGGGCACGGGTGGCCCAATCGTCCAAGGCGCCGCGATTCGCTGTGCAGAGTTGCGTCCCTTGGGCACGCCAGAAACCTATGATTGTGGGTTCGAATCCCGGTTGGCTCCGATTATGTTTCTAGGTTTATCAACACCTTACCCGTGCTCGTGGGTTTCACCGAAGTGGTAAACGTCTGAGACCTGCATCACTTCGGGCTTTCCTCCCACATTAAGCTGACACGCCGTGATATAACTGGAATAATGTTAAAAGCGGCGTTAAACCCAACTCACTCACTCACTTAACACCGCACTCAGCAATATTCCAGCTAAATGACTGCGGTCTGTAAATAATTGAGTCTGGACCCGAGAATCCAGTGACTGACATAATGGGCATTGGAATACGATGACGTACACCCGATCCCGTTAGTCGCCTCTCACGACAAGCATGTTTTGCTGAAGGCATATTCTAATCCCGATCTTCACGGGTTCTTAAATCTAATTAGTCGTATCGATGAATGTACCTGAATGAAAGTGAAATCGTCGGTGAGCGGCCCATGAAACCACATCCGTGTCCACTCAGCATATATTCCGCTAACTACAAAACACTGAGACGAGTGCCTGAAACCGTTGAATGAGTTGTCTCCCTTTGACCTTTAACCCAACAATCTCACGCGACACCTTCTTTATTCTTCCGATATCCTCGCTACAATTGAAGCTGAAGAGGTCTTTGTCGTATGAGGATGAACATAAATCTGACCTTCTTTTATGGAGGACTGTTCAAGAATCCACGTTAATGTACGTAGATGTAAGTATCTTCTACGTAGATGTGAGTAGTACCATGTACGTAGATGAAAGTACCTTCTACGTAGAT